GCCCGTTAATAGATCGACGCCCACCACCAGCAGCAGGGTTATGATGGCGATAATCCCTTCGGGCCGGCTGACACGCCAGAGTTTGAGGACCGCCTTGGGGTTGATGAGTTTCCAGCCCGTGTAGACTAGCACCGCGGCAAGGCTCGACATCGGGATCATGTCGAGCACCCACGGCAGCAGGGCGACGAATATCAAGAGCCAAAGCCCGTGGAGCCACGCCGAGAGCCGGGTACGGCCACCGGCGTCGACGTTGGCCGAGCTGCGGACGATGACACCCGTCATCGGGAGCGAGCCGACAACGCCGCAGGCAAAGTTGCCGACTCCCTGGGCGAGCAGCTCGCGGTTGTAGTCGGTCCGGGTGTGAGACTGCATCTGATCGACCGCGGCGCAGCAGAGCATCGTTTCCGCGCTGGCGATGAGGGCGACCGTGACCGCGGCGAGCGCAACGGCGCGCCATTCAAGATCGCCGAGGACTTCTCTCGTTGGGAACAAGATTCCGTCGAGCAGGCTCGCTGGCACATCGACGTGTTCGATGTGCCAGCCCATGGTCTTAGTGATAGCGGCCGCCAAGATCACCGCGACGACGGCGCCGGGGATAATGCGCAGCGACTTAATCGGGACGTACTTCCAGAACATCAAGACGAGTATGGAGGAGACGCCGACCGCAGCCGCGAGGTGGTGGGGCGAATTGTCCAGCGGCACGAGTCCCTTCCAGAGCGACTCGGGGATTGTGAGGATGTTGGCGATCCCCTTCTCCCAGCCGATATTGAGCCAGGGCCGAGCGGCGTCGTGGTCGTCGACCATGACGTGGAATTGGCTGGCGAAGATCAGAACGCCGATGCCGCTGAGCATGCCTTGGATGACGGCAGGCGAGACGGCGCGGAAGTAGCTGCCGAGTTTCGCGACTCCCGCCACTATCTGGATGGCGCCGGCGCAGACCACAACGATCCCCAGCGCCGCGAACCCGAGCTCGGCGATGATCTCGGACGTGACGACGAACAGGCCGGCGGCGGGGCCGCTCACCTGGAGCGGCGAGCCGGAAATGGCGCCCACCAACAGCCCACCAATAATGCCGGTGATCAATCCCGACACGGGCGGCGCGCCCGACGCGGTGGCGATGCCCATACAGAGGGGCAGCGCCACCAGAAAGACGATGATCGAGGCCGGGAAGTCGGTCTTCAGCGCGCCCAGCAGATTGCCCCAGGGCGACAGTGCGGGGGTTTGAGCGGAATTCGTCATGGCGCTAGTGTCGCTGCGCGGGGGTGTAAAGGCAACGCGTCTCTACCGATCTAGTCGCCGGCGGGCCTTCTCCAGCAGGCGGAGCACGCTCCATTCCTGGGTCAACGCGGCGACTTCGTCAGGCGTGCACCAGCGGAGGTCGTGCGACTCGTCGCTGACGCAAAGGCTTTCATCGGCGTTGGCTTGGAGCAGGAAGCGAACGTCGTGGTGCTCGTGGCCGTCTTCGACCAGCGAGCCGTCGGGCGCGTAGCGGGCGGGGATGTCGTGAACGTCGAGGTCGCGCACGGCGACGCCGCGGTGATTTGCAACGACCTTAAGCGATTGCAAACCGGTGTCTTCGATCGCTTCGCGCAGGGCGACCTCGGCGAGGTCGGTCTGGCCGTCGGCGTGGACGCCGGGCTGGAGCCACTTGTCGAGCTTGCGGTGGTGGAGCAGCAGATGCCGCTCGCCGTCGGGCGAAACGACCCACGCCGAGCCGGTGAGGTGCCCGGGGCGGCAAGTGCGGTCGAAGCAATCGGGGCGCGAGTTGACGAGGGCAAGGATACGGTCGGCGACCTGCGCTTCAGCGGGGTTGGCTTCGCGGTAGGCGGTGAGGAGTTGGATGACGGGGTCGCGGTGCATAGGTC